GCACTATTTGAAATGTTTAAAACAAAAATCCTTATGCTTTTCCTACTAAAGTTGGGAAGGGGAATCAGTAGGATTTATAACAACTATACTTAATTTTCAGCGTTCATTGCTGGCAAAAATTTTAGGTCATGATTGCAAAAATTTTAGGTCGTGATTAATTCCCCTAAAATGTAAAATATGGTATTTGTGTCACTGTTAATATTTTGATAAATAGCTGTCGAAGTAGACATCTGTTGTTTTCTGCATGGTCTTTTCTCCTACTTTAAAAGCCTAATTATTGGAAAGAGCATCTCTCTTCTCTCTTTTTTTCCTTCTCTTTCTCTCTCATTTGTACCCCACTATGAAGTATCAATGGTGGGCATTTCACCTAGGCTTTGCCAGTCAGAGTATAATCCCAACTAGACCCAGCGAGATGCATGGAGCTACTCCTAGGGACATCCACTAAAATTTTTGGAAAAGAACTTTCTTTCCACTGAGGTTACTAAATCCAAGTGCTATGGGCTACCAGGTGGGGGTAACCTTCCCAGGAATAAAGCCAAAACAAAGGAAAGTAAAGCTAAGAGATAGGGGTCAAGTCCTTTTTTGAAATAAGTTTTAAAAATTTATTTATTTATGGTTTTGCTGGGTCTTCGTTGCTGCAAGTGGGCTTTCTCTAGTTGCAGTGAGCAGAGACTACTCTCTGTTGTGGTATGCGGGCTTTAGGTGTGTAGGCTTCAGTAATAGTGGTGCTTGGGGCAAGTTGCCCTATGGCATGTGAGATCTTCCTAAACCAGGGATGGAACCCATGTCCCCTGCACTGGGAGGCAGATTCTTAATCACTGGGCCAACAGGGAAGTCCTCAAGTCATTTTGATATCATGTGAGCCCTTGAATCCAACCATGCCTAAAACTAAATTTCCTCTTGACTTTTAAGCAAATCAGTAAACTTTCTTTTTGCTTTAACAGTTGGGTTTCCTTTAAATCCATCAAAAAAAAAAAGTCTTGATAAAATATTAATGGCAAGTTTTCTTTGTGTTATTTCCATGAGAAATAACCTGGAGGAGAACTTTCATAATTTCAACAAGACCCGTTCACCTCCTGGAAATTCTCCCTGACCACCACCTCCAGACCCACAACGACCTCCCTGTCCTTAAACATCCAGGTGACTTGATGGGTATGTAGTGCTTCATGCAGCTGTCACCGCATTTCTACACATCTTCCTTGTTTGATGATGACTTGTTACTCTGTCTCCATTTCTTCCAGAGTCCAGGCTGTATCTTAATCATTTTTATGTCCTTGCAACCTTACACTGGGATCTAACATGTAATAGTTGCTATTTTGTTGAAGAAATTATATTTTCCTGAAGAAATGAATGAATGGGAGAGGAAAATAGTTGGGAAAAATCCCTTCTATTAATGAAGATTCTATGATTGAAATTGTCAATAAAATAACTAGTATCAGAAGCCCAGAGTAAACCAAATTAATATATCCAAACTGAATCCTCAAACTGTCAGTCACTAGGGGGTGTCTGGTTGAGAAATTCGGAGAAGGCGATGGCACCCCACTCCAGTACTCTTGCCTGGAAAACCCCATGGACTGAGGAGCCTGGTAGGCTGCAGTGCATAGGGTGGCTACGAGTCGGACACGACTGAACGACTTCACTTTCACTTTTCACTTTCACTCATTGGAGAAGGAAATGGCAGCCCACTCCGGTTTTTGTTCTTGCATGGAGAATCCCAGGGACGGGGGAGTCTGATGGGCTGCCGTCTATGGGATCGCACAGAGTCGGACACGACTGAAGCGACTTAGCAGCAGCAGCAGCAGTTGAGAAATTGTCCTTTCTTTGATCACTAGGATTCAGAAGCTAGGTGAATGTGGAGGAGATGGTCTTTTTTTTTTTTCTGCAAAACGTTGACAGTTTAAAATTCCATAAAATTTCATAACCTCTTGCAATATGTTTTAAAACTGAAATGTACAACCTGCAATGTGGAGTACAGGTTTTATGCTGTAAGGGAGGAAGCAGGGAGAGCAATGGTGACCAGAATCTTGCTGCTGACTAGTAGGCAATACAATAGGTGGCTTATGGTAGGGGTCTTCTGTGACAAAGCAAAGAATAATAAAGTCCTGAGGAGAATAAAAAGAGGCAGCACCATCTCTGTAGCACAAGGTGGTTGAGTGAGTTTTACAGTTAATATGGGCAAATGATGGGGGGAAAAATTCTACTGTATATTGGGATAGGATCAAGGCATTGGAGTAACAATCCCTTTATGTGGGCAAAATCTCTTTTTAATTAATTTTTACTGGAGTATAGTTGGTTTA